TTTCTCTTTTATATATATATATATATATATATATATATATATATATATATATATATATATATATATAAGCATCACTTCCACTGCTACATTTAATTTATACAAAATAATTTTAAGATCTTTATACATAACTGAAAATACCACCTTTTTGAGCAATCATGAGCTATAAATTCAAAGGAATTTAGCATCCTTTTATTTTTGGTGTGGTTCACGTGTAATTTCAACTGTGTTTAAATTAATAAAAAGGGGTAACTGCAGTAATAACATGGTAATAATATGGTAACATTCAAAACTTTTTAGAATTTTGCCTACCATTTTTTTTCATAATAAGCATCACTTCCACTACTAAATATAATCTATACGAAATAATTTAAAGCCCATTATACATAACTGAAAATCACACCTTTTATTAATTAATACATTATTTAACAAATAAATTATTAATTCTGAGTTATATATTTGCTTATCACCTTATTTTTTTAAACTCCTTTTTCATTTGCAAAGAGAAGTACCTATTTCTTATTTTTTTTGTCACAGTTTCAGTTTTTCCACTATTCATGAGTTCAAAAATATCAATAAAACCTTTCCATCACATCACTTTATTTCCCAAAAAATAAGAATGAAGATTTTATCAAATTTATATATATGCGTGCGTGTGTGTGTGCTTTAATGCACTTATCAAACTAACAAAAGCAGTCAAATGTTAAAAGTTTCAATTTACAATCTGCAAAGCAGGGGCAAAAGTGGAAATCAGGAATAGGCATAAAAAAATATCATACATGTGAAAATGGGCTAAGAATTGAACCGTTGTAATCTGCTCAGATTCAGACAGGATTCATGTGTTTGGGTCAGTTTTTCTGCTGATTAAGGGAGAATACAAGATATTTCTCACCTTACAAATGGTCATCAAAATAAAAAATGCTATGAAATATTTTGAGGGAAAGTGAGACGTGTTCGAGCAAAAACAGACTATTTTTGGAATCAGCACCTCAAATTAGTAAGAACACATATTGGATTTAATTCAGGAAAATATGATCCATAGCCGTGTAATCTGTGCACTTTTGAAATTTTTGGTCAGAATAGGCTGCAATCCGGATGGGATTTAATGCTGATGTCTGGCTATATGAGGCTACCTGCTGTTCCATTTGTTGTGTAAAAAGACCCAACTGTGGTAGGTGACTTTACATGTCAGTACCTTCCTGTCTGAGAGGGCGGTTTCAGACCAGAATAAGCGATGCAGCATAGAGGTTAATAACTCACCTCCTGATGCGCTGAGAGACTGCATCTCCCTCTCCCTGCGGTCCAGCTCAGCGGCTTTTCTCTCCAGCTCCTCCTGTCTCTGCAATAACTCCGCTTGGGCTCGCGCCTGATCCTACAGACACACAGACACAAGGTGGTTATGAACACAAAGTAATTCTGCTTACAGGCAGAGCAGAGCATGACTTCAGGAGAGTCAACATCAAAACACACCAAAGGCATTTTCTCAGACGCAGCTGTCAGAACCAATCACAAACACGTCTGAAACTCAGACCCGTGAGGGCCGATCTCCGTCTGACTGACAATGCAAGTCTTGTCTTGTTTATTCATGGCATATCTTATCTGGCGAGTCGTTATACACTGTAAATTTGAATAAGCCTCTACCTATATCATAACTGATTATGGCAGGACATCTGACCTCAAACGAAGCATGTTAGAGCTACACTACCATTCACAAGAATTCTCTTCTGCTCACCAAGGCTGCATTTATTTGATCAAACATACAGTAAAATATGAAAAATGTATGTGAAATGTGAATAATATACTATTTAAAATGTCTATTTTCTGTGAAAATATTTTCAAATATTATTGATTGCTGTGATCAAAGCTGAATTTTCAGCATCATTACTCCAGTCTTCAGTGTCACATGATCTTCAGAAATCATTCTAATATGCTGATTTGCTGCTCAAGAAACATTTCTGATTATTATCAATGTTGAAAACAGTTGTGCTGCCCAATATTTGTGTGGAAACCCATGATACATTTTTATTTTTCAGGATTCTTTGATGAATAGAAATTTCAAAAGAACAGCATTTATTTTAAATAGAAATCTTTGTCTTTGATGTCTTTACGGTCACTTTTGTTCAATTTCATGTCATTTTAAAGATTATTTGCACTAGCAAATGCACTTAGTGGAGTTTAAAAAAATTTTTTTTTTTTTAGTAAACAATTTTCAAAGTCCCTAAACTTTTAGCATGAATGATACGAATTAATACTGCTTTAAAGATGTTGCAACCAAAAATAAAGTCCCAGCCGCACTGGACCTCATAGCGGCAACTCATCCTGCACTCGTTACAGCAGCGTCCCAGTTAAGACAGATTATAATTTTAAGAATCACTCTTATCCAAGCCAATCTGTTGATGCATACTGCCCTTGTTTCTGGGTCATTTTAAGGGCTCAGAAATTCCAGCTTTCCCCGAAGGCAGCATCATGTGACACACTCGGCTTAATAAAGTCAGTGGGCAACAAGTCCTTTAACAAGCCTTCTGTTGTCACCCTGAGGCTCAACTCCTCTCCGCTGCTACTACAAGCTAAAGACTACAGTGACAGACCCTGAGCTTCTGATTCGGCCTCCTCCTGAAGATCTGGATCACCTTGTTGTGTCCTAACTCAACTCAACACACATGGAGCTCGAGCGTGTGAGTCATCTGACGCACACCCAAAGCGTGCCTGTGTGTCCATATGTCTGGAGCGAGGCAGCCCTGTCCCGCAGGCGTGCTGAATTATACAGTATAAGCTCACTCGTGAGCAGACCAGCTCGCAGCTCCTGCCTGCTGGAAGCTTATGTTGTCCTACTGAGGATATTTCTGTAAAATCAAGGAGGATTTTCAACGCTGAATACCCTCTGACAGAATCATCTGCATCAGGGATTGTGCTTCACACAGACCCAAATGGGGGTTTAAGATTTCAGAAGAAACTTCATGCAGTCAATTAACACAAAATTATTTAGACTCATCCCTCAGTGTTTATAAATTAACAGGAAACACATTTAAAGGACTAGACTTACAACGGAAGCCTTCTTTGATATAACCACCACAACTAGGGCTGCATGATTAATTGGAATAAATCAGAAATTGTGATATGGCTTAGTGCGGTTATCAAATTGCAAAGGCTGTGACTTAATTAAATAAATATGTGCTGCGTGTTACAGAGTGAAACGTGGCACTGTGTTCATTTACATGCGAGCAGCTCATCAACTTGTAATGAAAACTGGCTGTTGTCAACAAAAGAGAAGCTTTAAAGGCTCACTGCAGATTTTTTGCTAAAAGAAAAATGTGTTGGTTTGATGTTTAAAAATAGACATAATTATTAGTATTGTAATTTTACAGATGTACTATGAAATGAATTATTATATTTATTATTCTTGAATAATTTATTTGATTTATTTTTATTCAGTAATAATATATATATATGTAATCCTTTATTCATGTAATTTTTATGAATAATAATTATTATTATTAATTACAGTTGTATTGATATAGTGAAAAGATATTTTAAATCGCAATTGCAATGTTTTCTTCAAAAAAATAAATAAAATCCCTCCCCCCCCCATCATGCAGCCTTAACCAAAATATTGTAATATCATAAAGGGACATGATGCAACCATCTATAAAGCAGTGTTCATCCCCTGAGAACATTAGTGCAATGTCAAATGGACGATTTAGAAAACTTTTTACCAGAACTTTTTCTACTTTTAGGCTGCTATACTTTCATTTTAAGTGCATTAAATAGAGAATGAAGTGAGATGCATATACCTGTGTCTGCTGAGGTTGAGTGTAGGCTGGCGGTTCTTCGGTGGGTTTCATGATGGCTGGCTGTGTGTTGGCTGTGGGTGGGACTGATTTAGGGGCGGAGCCTGGCGGGACCTATAATGCCACAAAATAAAACATGAGACATTGTCGTGCAAAACACCTCACGGTTTCACCTCATCTGCAACACAATAACAACATAACATCTTTTCTTTTCATTTATAAATCCAGAATGACTGGATGTGTTTGACTATGTTTCGAATGTTCTGGATCATCCAGAAATAAAGCAATTTATGTGCACAATTAAGGAAAGGGGAAAAAAATTTAACAAATGCCTTTAAGTGCATTAAATAGAGAATGAAGTGAGATGCATATACCTGTGTCTGCTGAGGTTGAGTGTAGGCTGGCGGTTCTTCGGTGGGTTTCATGATGGCTGGCTGTGTGTTGGCTGTGGGGGGGACTGATTTAGGGGCGGAGCCTGGCGGGACCTATAATGCCACAAAATAAAACATGAGACATTGTCGTGCAAAACACCTCACGGTTTCACCTCATCTGCAACACAATAACAACATAACATCTTTTCTTTTCATTTATAAATCCAGAATGACTGGATGTGTTTGACTATGTTTCGAATGTTCTGGATCATCCAGAAATAAAGCAATTTATGTGCACAATTAAGGAAAGGGGAAAAAAATTTAACATAAATGCCTTCAGTCGACTGAATGGCACAAAATCTGACGGGTTTGTGCTGTAAGTGTGGGCTGTTCTGGGCAGCAAGCCATACGCTGGTACAGCTTCACTAGTTATACCACACTGTAAATGATGTTATTTGTTGGTACTGTATGTATGCTGTTTGTTTCCTTGTCTGCATCTCTCTCTTGTTCAGAAAGAAACATCCTACTCATACTAAATCTGAATGTATGCAGTGCACTCTATACACATTTGGATGACCTACAACATTTGCCAAAATGTGCAGTATAAAACACCGCATGGAATACTGCATCCCACAATGCAATGTACTCACCTTGACATTCCATTACCAGCGTGATGAAGGAAATTAACATCAGCCACTACCTCACTGTTTGATTACATACAATAAAGTATTTACTATGTATGTAACAGTGTTATTATAGTTAACTAAAGCCCTAAAAACATTTGTAACATGAAATTAAAAACTTAAGATATTTCTCATTTTCAATTAGTTTCACTTGATGTACTAAAATAAATAAAACAACAAAAAATAATAAAACTATATAGAAATATTTTTAAACTAGTAATAATAATTTCAAAAACATCACAATTACTAAAACTTCCACTAAAATTAAAAGAAAACTTAAAAATAAAAATTACTTTAAAATATGAACACAAACTATAATAGTATCTCAATAGTACCAAAATAACACTGGTACATCCAGCCAGCCTCCCTCCCTCTCTTTTCTCTGGACCAGAGTGTGTTGGCGGATGGTATTTTCGAGCCGTTTAATTATTATTGTCCTTAGAAAACCTGTACATTTGTTAATTTTATACATAGTAAGTCTCATATAAGAGTCAGTCTGCCTCTGTCCTGGGCATCTCACCGGCTTTGTGTCTGTGAAAGGGTTATACTCCTCCAGGCCAGGCGGGGCAGTCTGTGTTACTTGTGTCACTGATGGATCCTGCAAAAAATACAGAGAGGAAACAGCCTTTAAGTATTTGTATGTTTAGGATATTTCACCTAGATATTATTTTACACAATTTGCACACACCTGTATAAAGGTTTTCTGTACTCTTGTTTACTTGTACTATTAAGGTTTTAACCTGATTGTCTGACTTTATGCATCAACCTGGTACCTTTTAAGTGTGTTAATTTTGTTAATGAAAACTATGATGAAAAATATTTGTTGTTGACCTTTTTTTCATCAGCATCATTAAACACTTTAAACATTATTAAACAGTAGGGATGTAACGATTCACTCAACTCACGATTCGATTCGATTCACGATTTTATTTAATTTTTTACAAAATGAGATTTAAGACAAATTATAAAGTAAATTTGCATTTCATTTTATTATTGCTTGGACAAAATGCTGCACATTTCTTTGTGAAATTGAAATATAACACTATAATAATATACTAATATAGCACTTGCATATTATTGCTCTTGTTGGTTTTGTCCTCATTTGTAAGTCACTTTGGATAAAAGCATCTGCTAATTAACAAAATGTAAATATAATGTAAACATAAATAACAAAACTAAATTGAAATTTTAAAACAAGCCCCAACTCAAATAAATAAGAAACACAAATAAAAGAAATCTCTTCATATAAACAAACTAAGGCTTTGTCTGTGCTCTTTCCATTTAAAATTAGAGACAACCACTGCATTTTAATCATGATCCAAACAAAGATGCTGCATACATGCAACATGAGCAGTTTTTAATCTAAATTAAATTGTATAATTTCGAAATTTGAAGCAAAAACAGAATGGTTTGACTTCAGTTTTGTGAAACGATACATAAAATATCTGCATGAAACAGCGGACGAGCTGAATGAGACGCAGATTCACTCTCTGCCAGTAGGTGGTGCTTAAAGCATTTCCTTGGTTTCCGCTGTAAACAAAGCAGCGCTGCACTTATGAACTTTCATATGCATTATACAGAGGCAAGATTAATTTAAAAAATACCATCTAAACTTTTCTAAAGACAGTAAGTTCCCCTCAGACATACATTCATATAAACTCCTACACCTAATTGAATCACGATTTGTTTAGCATCTCAACCGATTTGAATCGTCACATATTTGAATCGATTTTCAACCGGCTCGTAGTTAATCGTTACATCCCTATTAAACGCATGAAACTCTGATTATACAGGGCTCCAGACTGCGCCTAAAACGGTGGCATTTGTGACCAAAAATATTTATTTGCAAGCAAAGTTTCTGCGGAGATCGCCACTGGCGACTATAGCCCCGTTTCCAACGCAAGAACTTTACCCAGGAACTAGGGACTTTGGGCCGGTACTCTGTGTGCTTCCTCTGCAGGAACCAGGATCTAAATAAAGTTCCGGATAAAAAATTGCCCCTCAGAAAGTCCCTGCTCGCGAGGTAGTACTTTTTCCAAAGGTCCGGAGCTTTCAGGGGCGGGACTTGAGTGCTAAACATGCTGATTGGTCGAGTTCACGCAGCATTGTGATTTCAACCACCATTTATTCAGATAATTTTCAAAATATTACTGTTATTTTGTCATGAAATGTAGTTTTAAAAGTATTTCAGGTGAGAATGTAGTTGTTTAAAACTCAAATCTGCGGTTTATTTATAAAGACTGCATTTTACCTATTTAAAAATGTGTTTTGCAGATTTCGGAGACATGAACTCCACGCGATCAGCGGGCGCTCAGTGCTCATGTTTCCCGACAAGAGCAGTCTCAACTCGGCTAGTCCTTCTGACATTTGCCGCTGGCTCTGATGTCTCTTTAGTGGTTAAACATAAAATATAATTAGTTTTGGGTAAATCTAACAGGTAATCTTTGGTCTTTGTTCAATTAATCTATTAATATGTTAAAATTAAAATAAAAAGAGGCAATACTGTTTGATATAATATTTAGTTTCATTGTAATGTAGGCTATATACACATTTCCCTGAACTACATTTCTGCGGCTATTAATATGTTTAAATGAAAACAAAAGGAGGCAGTGGTATTTGATATCATATTTTGTCTTATTGTAAATATGCAGCGAGGAAAATTGCAGTATCCAAGGCAAGCTGACTGACGTTATCAAGTACGCTGCTATTTGCAGAATTACCGGACCTGCGTTGTCCCGTCCACGGGAGTTCACACTCCTGAGTCGAACTCGCAAAGAACGAGTATAAAGCTGTCAGCTGTGTGGACATTAACAATATCATAAAAATTCTCGTTTATAATCAATACTGATATGGCTTATTTAGTCTTTAGTCTAAATGCTGTGCTCTGTTAATGTGTGAAGTTCATATTATCTGAACAATAATCGCAATACACTTTGTGCTCGGTTACCTTAATAAAGTATCAGCTTTAAAATTCTGCCAAATTCATAACGAATTTCAAACAATAAATACAGTTTTGGCACTCGTTAATGTGGCATGAGCGATCGCTTTACAATTCAAGTGGCATGTGAACCCATCAGATCTTTCTCTTTACTACTGTAGTACAAAATAAACATGAATGAACATCAAAAGCTATATTATAAGATGGCCTACAGTACAACTTCCTGAAATGTCTCGTGAAATCGCTCATTCAGTGTTTCAAACTGTGGAAAACATGTAAAGTAAAGAAAAGTAAATGTAACGTTCTGTGTTCAACAGAAGAAAGCAAGCTTGTAATCAATGCCACGTAACAATACATTTACCTCAGAATAACCATTCGGCATCCATAAGCTCATCAGTCAGCTGGAAAAAATAACTATAAAGAGCAGTATTTTGCTAAATGTATGCGCTATATTCAGAGTTTTACTTAACCTGTTGTCTACATGATAAGAAAAAATACAAGGAGCTAAAGATAAAATTCAACACCATCATAAATTTCATGTTACTAATGAAGAAAAACAGACTGAATGTGTGCAAGACATATTACAACATTTATAGGATGCATTGAGGAGGAGCCCAAACTATATTTTCTTCAACAACAAAAAAAAAAACGGCGAAAATTATAGACATGTTCAGGGTTAAACGTTCCGTTCTGACCCAGAAGAGATACATAAAAATGTCTAAAAACAGCATAGTTTTTAGTAAGAGAATGAAACTTTGCAAGCATTTTATACATTATTTTCTACGAGTCATAACAGTCTCATAACAGACAAAGTTACTGATCAGATATGATATGGTTTTATTTGAAAAATATTAAGTTATGACTGATTTATAAAACAACGATTCTTGATTAAACAACACAACAACAAAAAAAACTGGCAGACTAACTAACACTATTTTGACAACATGACTGTTTCCAGACAGACTGAAGGAAAAAAAACTGAGTAAATGCAGCCAATCAGAGCAACGTTTACTAGATCAAGAAAGCAATTCCCGGTTTTGCATGTAAAATGCATCAGACGTTTAGCGTGCGGACTGTGAGTGGGTGGCCGAATCTACTTGTTATGTATATTCTTGCATATTTATGCAAGTGCTCAAAGCTCCTGAAAACCAAAACAAATTCCACGTGAGCAAATAAAGCTCCTTCAGATGTTTGGTTTGGCTTCATGAAACTGAAAAGTGTATACAGTACATAAAAATACTTTTATTTCCATTGTAAAAGCTATATTATAAGATGGCCTACAGTACAACTTCCTGAAATGTCTCGTGAAATCGCTCATTCAGTGTTTCAAACTGTGGAAAACATGTAAAGTAAAGAAAAGTAAATGTAACGTTCTGTGTTCAACAGAAGAAAGCAAGCTTGTAATCAATGCCACGTAACAATACATTTACCTCAGAATAACCATTCGGCATCCATAAGCTCATCAGTCAGCTGGAAAAAATAACTATAAAGAGCAGTATTTTGCTAAATGTATGCGCTATATTCAGAGTTTTACTTAACCTGTTGTCTACATGATAAGAAAAAATACAAGGAGCTAAAGATAAAATTCAACACCATCATAAATGTCATGTTACTAATGAAGAAAAACAGACTGAATGTGTGCAAGACATATTACAACATTTATAGGATGCATTGAGGAGGAGCCCAAACTATATTTTCTTCAACAACAAAAAAAAACGGCGAAAATTATAGACATGTTCAGGGTTAAACGTTCCGTTCTGACCCAGAAGAGATACATAAAAATGTCTAAAAACAGCATAGTTTTTAGTAAGAGAATGAAACTTTGCAAGCATTTTATACATTATTTTCTACGAGTCATAACAGTCTCATAACAGACATAAAGTTACTGATCAGATATGATATGGTTTTATTTGAAAAATATTAAGTTATGACTGATTTATAAAACAACGATTCTTGATTAAACAACACAACAACAAAAAAAACTGGCAGACTAACTAACACTATTTTGACAACATGACTTTGTTTCCAGACAGACTGAAGGAAAAAAAACTGAGTAAATGCAGCCAATCAGAGCAACGTTTACTAGATCAAGAAAGCAATTCCCGGTTTTGCATGTAAAATGCATCAGACGTTTAGCGTGCGGACTGTGAGTGGGTGGCCGAATCTACTTGTTATGTATCTTCTTGCATATTTATGCAAGTGCTCAAAGCTCCTGAAAACCAAAACAAATTCCATGTGAGCAAATAAAGCTCCTTCAGATGTTTGGTTTGGCTTCATGAAACTGAAAAGTGTATACAGTACATAAAAATACTTTTATTTCCATTGTCACTGTACAGTTTGTTTAGCATGTGTGCTAAACTCGTGTGTGGTCGACCTAACACACGCTGAACTAAACTGCACAAACAAGTCATTCAGAAATCATTATGATTCTGACATCACAACATATGACTCTGCAACAAGGTTTGATAACAAACAGCACAACTGCCGCTGTAAAACAACCATAAACTAAGATCTAAACGGCTCTAAACAAACTCAAACTTTCCCCTCACGAGCGGCTGATAAAGGCACTATTATCATGACTAATGTCACGCAGATGTCAGAGAACTCGAGAAGTCCAGAGTAGGGATGGGCATTCCAAGCAAAAATAATATTCGAAAATC